AAAAAAGTGCGTCACACACAGGTAGACACAGGACTTCAGAGTTCGACAGTTCCGACTTAGTTTTTCTGTACCATAGGTAGACAACGACTTCGGAGCTCCGAATTGTTATAAAGGGGAGCAGTTACAGGCATCGCCTTCAATACCACCAAGAGAAGGTTTCCTAAAGCTTGAAAATTTATTATAATGAAGATGTCGGATTTGCCCTAGAAACATTGATATCACAGCTGATTTCATGCTGGAAGTCTCAGAACAGCCAGCTGATGGTAGTAGAAGAAAGGAAAACCATCTCAAAGTTATTCTGTGCAGAAATTTACTTCACTTTACTTTACTTTTTCATAACTATTATCTGATAATTACAGATAATTACAAAATTGTAAATGAATCGCTTAAAATAATACACCAAATGCTCGCGGCGATGTTGCATAATACTTAACACAGAAATGCGTATCCGCTGTCTATCTTTAGGCAAAATTTTGTGCAATCAGTCTGGCCAAGGCAAGACGCACAGCACCCCACAGACAATTCGAGACATTTGCTCCTTGAAAGACTGCGTTCATTACACCCGACCCGACCCGACCACCCGAATAGCAGCGCGTCATCGAGAATTTTATGTAAGCATAACAAACGAAAAGAATTGATATCCACCTAGAAGTATGCAACACAATTGACGACTGCATAAATTCGAGCGCATAGCAACAAGGCAATGGAAATAGTTAGCAGCATGACAACAACATTGAAACATGAGCTGAATTACAATGCGCTCAGCTGGAATTCAACACTTGTGTAAGATAACTTAAGCAATTGAGAGCCAAGTGTGGCAACTGAATTAACTGAATGTGGTTATTATTAATGAAAGAAGCGTTTAATTAAATGAGTTATGTTAGCTGCTGACGAGACAAATTTATGCTGCCAATAATAGCAAAGGCTTTCAATGCATGAATTTCATAACGGAAGACTAGTGGGCGGAAACTTAACACAATTTCAAGAATTTTCCTTGCAAAAGTGTTGCATTCTTCCTCTTTAAGAAATCTGGTGAATTCAAAATAATCGCCTTTTATTTCTTGTTAAAGCCGACAGATTTTATGGCGCTCCAACAACACAGAAAAAATTGAACTTCCCACAGAAACTTTCTCTCGCTGCCTGTTGCTAGCAAAGTAAGTATATTCAAAAATGTCAGAAAGGTGATAAAGTGCAAATAAATTCGACAGTGTTGAAGTTTCGTGACAGGCGAGCTGGCAACTTTCGAGCTTTATTTGACGACGCCGATGGTTTGAGTGGCCAATTACTCACGCTTAGTGGGCTATTACGAGCACGAAATTGAAAGCGAATTTGGAAAAATATCGAAAATTGATAATCCAATAAAAATTGTGAAAAATTTAGGAGAGAGAGTGGCGAAAAATTGCAGCGACAAAATCAGTACAATGAAACGTTAGCAATCGCAGCAGAAGTGGGAATTACGCTGTCAATGCAGTATAAGAGCTTCATATAGGCGGATTAAAGGCTTATATTTGGGTTGTCAGCATGAGGTGAGCTGTTGAGATCATTGGCTTCAAAATCGGTGAAATGGAAAGAGTAAGATTAAGAGAATAAGAAGGGTCAACTTAGGCGAAGGTAAGAACGGTCAACTTATCCAAAAATTAGTGATAGTTTTAGTCGGTTGCCATTTTGATGGCTAAAAGTAGACGAAAGTATTTCTAGATTGCCATTGCTGCTAAGGGAAAGTTTATGGTATGTACCAAAAACAAAATCGACTCAACTGCTTTTAAATTGTAATCTCATCTGTGCTGATAAAACCCCTAGGAAGCTTTTTATAAATACACACAAACGATAAACAAAGTCTACCACAAAATCTAAATCTAGGTAACTTATGACTGCTATTTATGATTTGTACACAAAAACTATGTGTATGCCGGTTTAAAAAAAATCTCTTCGAATTTCTGAACATTTCGCTAAAAATAAATGTTTATCTGTATTTAATGACTGCTTGAAGGATTCTAAAAAAACTAGCAACATAGTTGTCGCTACAGCTTTCTGTATACGCAGCTCTACCTGAATTATGCATCGATTTGTTTGTAAGTAATATGTAGTGAGCATCAAGTTTGCAATTATTATATGCGTTTAGTTACCGAAATTGACCGTGCTTAATACATGCTTATGAAATTCAGTACAGTCGCTAACTAATGCAAAAATAATTTAAAAATAGTTAAAAATTATGCAAAGTTTGATATGATTTATACCTAAATTCGGTAAATTTTTTTTGTAGAACTAACTTATTCAGAATAAATTTGTCTTTATTATTTAACTAAATAATTCAGAAGATATTGTTCTTTCTCACGTAGCTTATATCTAAAATCAGTACGGTTTATTACCCGAATTCGGTAAATTTTTTTGAATGACTAACTACATATGTAATTCAGAACAAATTTGTCTTTCTCATATATCTCATACCTGAATTCAGTACAGTTTGTTACCTAAATTTGAACTGCACTTAAGTTACAAATTACAAAATTTGCCGTTATTTTAAATAACATTCGTTTAATATGATTCTGCTCAGTACGTTACCCAACTTCCGCACAAGTTTCTTTAGATCTAGCTAATTTAGAAAAACTTTTGTTCATAACAGTCACGTTCAGTTAACAATTATACAAAGTTTTGTGTAACTTATACCGAATTATGGTAAAAATTCGGTTCAACTTTTTTTTAAAGTTATATTTCAGTTGAAAATTACAAAATGTGCCAATATTTGAAAAATTAGTCTTATTATAATGAAGCCTACTACAAATGTTTAAAGTTCGGTATGACTTCCACCCAAAGTTGGTACAAAACATACATTTAGCAAAGAAAATTGTTTTTAGTTCTGTATATAAAATTAGAATTTGAAGTGAATCTCTTGGAAATGCTTTATTTAGTTAGCCTTCCCACTACATCACCCCAAACTCATACACAAACACACACATTGGTATTTGTATATACATACAATTGACTCGAAATTTCAGCGTTTGCTTATAAAAAATCTTCTTGTTATGTCTTTATCTAAATACAGCAGCAAAAAAATTAAACAAAAACGCTTGGCAGTTAATCCTCCGACAAATAAACAATTGAAATAATGAAATCGTAAAAATCGTGCGAGCAATCTATTCAAATAGAAGATAGCACACCTTCTGTAAGGCACGGCGAGGCTTTGCGGGGCGGTCCAACCGGTCGTATGAGCAATTTTTAAACAAACCGCGGATGTGCAATCAAAGCTCCTGCAAATAAAAGCGAACGATAAGCGGTCGTATAATGGCAGTGGCTAGAGCGAATTGCCCAACAGCTGTGGTGACTGCGTGGCGTGTGGCGTAGGGCTGGCCTCTTTGAATGGGCTTTCATTGCCAACTCATTGAATATAGTTATGCTGCTACAAAATTTTAGTTTTGGCGCTTTTGCCACAAATTCATTCTCAGTTTATGTTTTTGCACATACTCGTACATACAGGTATTTCTATTCCTTTATAGACTAAAATTGGTTTGTTTATTATTCTAATTATAAAGCTGGTATTTGTTTTACTTGAGTTTTACTTGAATGGGAAGTGAATTATAGCGTGAAAATGTAAATATTTATATGGCGATCTATTAAAAAAAATTATACAAAATACTAAAAGTAGCAAGGTTACGATCAACGGCGAAAGAAATCTTAGAAATAATTATTTTACAGTTAAGAATGCAACAAGTACATCAAAACTCAATACTTTTTTAAACTTATTTTTTTAACATTTTTTTTAAATTATTTTTCAAAATATGTAATCTGACAAGTCCTCGAATATTTCTGTGGTGCATTCCTCACTCGAAATTTAGCAAAGCCTTTAAAACGCGGCGGTTGATTGCTTGCACAGCGGGCACTTTTCGCCGTGAAATTATATGAAACTCATTTGCTGCACTTGGAGGTGAAAGCCAAGGCCAAAAATTTTTTCACTTCCAATTTCATTTTTTAGAAGCGCATTATAGAAGCGCGGAATTTGAACTTTGGATGTGATTTGCTGCTAAACGAATTGATAGCAATACGTAAATCTGCAATTAAATTGCATGAAATAAATTTGAAACGCAGCAGCAATTATTGGCAACTATCAATAGACATGATTTTGTGGTTAAAAATAAGTTTGAGAATTTTGGCATGCATGAAAATTATTTGTTTGGAAATATATAGATACAGAACGCCACACATTGGCTACTAACCCCTCCACTATGAACAAGTATTTATATTTGAAAATACGGGACTTAACTAATGCAGCTAATCATATTTGATTATAGCCAAAAATGTTGGAGTTCTATAAGTTTCGAGTCAACACCGAATTGTCGCAGAATTTTATTAGAGACTCCTTCATAGGAAAAAAATTGTGGCAGTGTTTCGTTGCCTCATGAAAGGTAATCACTGTTATAAAAAAACAAAAAACATTGTGAAGTTGCAGGGTTAAGCCTTGAACGACTTCATAAAAAAGAATTTTTTTGAAAGATTTTTAGTTGCCTAATGAAAGGCAATCATACTTACGAAATACACTTATATACAGAACATATTAAATTCAATGCATTTAAGTGTAGAAACTACCATCCACATGCTTCTGTTAATAACTCATCGATTTTGTTCGTTATCTTTAAACTAAACCAGACACAGATACATTGAAGAAATGTGCTTAAAATCAACTCAACACCTTCAACAGCAAAGAAGAAAAAAAATGTTAAGAAACGAGAAAGTCCATAATACCATCATTACCATAATCCACAAGCTACTAGCTACTAGCTACTTAACAGATATCTTACAAGCAGCTCACACACACATACACCAGCTGAGAAGTTGGTTGGTCTTCACACCGACCTGCCTCACAGTGCGCCCACCTGCCACTCGCCAACTGCACCGCTTCCAAACCCCACCACCCACTGCTGCTGCGCCGTTTTCCCGCTGCCGCCAGCCGTTATTGAGCGCTTCAGCACAGCCGCATTTCAGTCTCACAACGGCTTTCAGCAGCGACACGCGTACAACGGCGAACCGTTGCAAACGACACAGCATTCGTTTGGGTAAACAAGTGAGAAAATAGTAATAATAAGTGCTTTAGGTACGGAAAAATAAAGACGTTTCAGCAACAGCCATATGAGAGAGACGCAAGCGTGTCGAAAGCAGCAATAAAAGTGCGGGAGAACGGCGCTTAAGATTCATTAAGACATCTGTGTAGGAAAAGCGTACTTTTTCAAACGCGTATTCCAGAAACTATCAAATCACTACACACAAACGCACACACACAGAAAGCATAAACAAAGCGCTGTGGGTATTGGCGAGCAGTGTTAGCATTGCTTTAAGCGCAGATTAAATTAGCTAATTTCGCGTAAATTGCATTGAAATAAAAGCAGACAATTCTAAGATAAGCTTTTAACGCGCAGTTGAACTACTTCAGTTGCATCGAGTGAGACTGACTTGGTAAGTGCAATCGAAAATAGCAACTAGTTGTGGACTATTGTGAATCTAATATGTATATTTCGACAAGTAAATTTTCCAATAGCAACTGAATTTGTCACCAAATACTAACTAGTGCTCATAGGAATAGTAACCAACTAGTTACGGAATGAAAAAAAAATTTAAAAAAAATAAATGAAAATTAAAAAAAAGAAATGAAAATAAAAAAAAAGAAATGAAAATAAAAAAGTAAAGTAACAAATAAAAATAAAAAAATTAAATAAAAGAAAATGTAAAGAAATTTAATGGTAATTTCCAAACAAAAAAAAAAAACACAGTCTCATCAAAATTTAAGATATTTCGTTCGAGGAATTTTATATAAGAATTTACGTCTGCATGTTGGGCAACAGACATACCAGTGCCTAGAAAGCTTTTGGCAGTCCACATTTGTGAAAATCATAAACAATTCAACAAATTTTCATATTTTCAATTTCGACGTTCAAATAAAAATTGAAGCGAATTTCCAGATCTAATAATTCAGCAATTACTAAAAGTGCTAAACCATTTCCAATTGTATAAATAAATTAGTAATGGCACCCAAATTGCATTTCGCCAAATCGCTAGTAGAATTTCAGAATTTCTTTTACGATTTGATTATTGTCTTGTCCAGCTGACCGAATTTATTATTGCCAGGCTCGCTTTGATTGCGGATCAATCAGATGTCACCCATGGCGTATGCGTCACTATCACGTTCGTCTTTCTCAAGTGCATACATACATATATACATACAAATATGTATGTTTGTACGAATGTATTATATTATTGGTTTGCAGGCACTTATGCAAATATACTTATATTTATTTGTTCGGGCTTAAAATGGTGTGTAGCGCTGAAAGGCAGCAATTATTAGCACAAACAATTAGCGGACGAAGGTAATACTCAAAATGTGTGAACTGACAAAGTGCACACGTGATTAGAATGGAAATGAAGAATAAATTGCATAATCTAATATTAAGTAGAAAACAAATTGATGTAAAATATGAAGACGAGTAGAAGTTAGTGGTCAATATGTTGGTGAAATGCGGAATAAACGACTGAAAAGAATATTTACTCCAGCAATTTCAGGTTTAGTTGTGATAAAACTTGGGGTCAATTGTACAAAAACAATATATAAAGCTCTGTTACAAAATATATACAAATATTACTTTCATTAAAAGAACGAAGTTTTATCTCTAAATTTTAATTGTGAAAGCTTCTGACGGATTTTGATGAAAGCTCGAAGAATATGAACCTAAAAACGATATATTTAGGTGAAAGCTCTTTTCTTAACACGCTTAAAATTTAAAACATGCTGCATAATAACAGAGTTTATAAACGATTAAAAAATATTTAAGTATTTTAAAACGCATCGGTCATAAAATGTGTTTAACTATGCAAATTATTGAAAGCTTTCGACAGAATCTTGCGAAAGCTGTTAAGCTTTTTATATAAATTCCTCTTATGCACTAATTTCTGAGTAAACTTAAGAAAATATGAAAGTTCAATAAGTGAAATATATATAAAATCACAATTATATGTGTCTATACATAATGTTAAAACTAAAACAGACAATATAGTTTATTAAGAAAACGTACTTAATTCATTATTTTTAGTATGAAAGCTCAGTAGTAAAAATATACGAAAGCTAATGAAGTTAATGCGTCAAACTTATAAAAAGCTGTGTGCCAATATTTCATAATAATATATTTTTTTTTATTTTTTAATTTTTTAAAAACTGACACATACAATTTGAAAAATAATCTATGACTGGCAGCCATCACTCACTTAAATCTCCTGCTGCCAGTTTTTGGCTTAGTATTATTCTCTTTCATATTTTACCTTCCATTCTACTAAAGCTTGAGCTCTGCTTGTACTTTTAGTGACTTAAAAATGTTTTTATCCTTCATTAAGAAGAGCGATTCTCTATAGTCATCTCCTTTATAGCTGTCTATTTAATCTAACAATTAAGTCAATCATCCTAATTGAATTCTTGAATGCAACAAAGCCATATAAATCATTTACAGCGACTTCAAACATTTTGCTAAATACACTAGAGAGATATGCTTTGCGTTTCTTTAGACACTCACACACCTATACAAGTGTATAGAAAGAAACGATTTTCAAATAGGCTGTAAAAGGGAATCGGAAATGAATGGGGCAAAGTTTGCGCCTCACATGGTCGCTGTCTGGCGTTTGCTACTGTGCGCCATTAATAAATAACTCTAAAAATAGTGGAAAGGCTTTAGCACAGCATTTGGATTTGTATATACAATTATAGCAAATCCTTTTTGCTGCTGTCGTTGACACAGCGTCATAAAAGTAGACGAGAGCGCGAGTGTGAGCAAGTCATATTCAGTCACAATGCCATGCCCACCCAACGGACGCCCAACTCAACTTGCGGCACGCAGTTATGACCCGACAATTACTCATGTACAATTACATACGTACAAATACAATAATGATTACTTTGTCGCAGATCAAATGTTTGCCTTTGCAACCCGCTCCTCTGTGACCCCGTCAGGTATGCGCATATGCATGTGTATTTATTCAACCATACAGTTATATGTGCTGTGTGCGTGTGCCCCTTGTGCTTTGACCTGCATTTGATCTGGTTGCTTGTAATTAAAATTGAATTTTGTCCATTTTCTCAGACTGTTTTTTTGTAAGTTGGCAACTCTTTTAACTATACCGTTATTCTGCTTTCATCTGTCTATGGCAGTCCGAAATTTAACTACAAGCCCACGCAAATATTCATTTACTTTTGTGCTGCTTTTCAGCAACGCATTAAGCGCAGTTGAGTTGCTGACTGCCGTTAACATTGCATAGTTGTTGCTGGTTCCAGGAAAATTCGACTTTTATAGTTTTCTTAAACTTTTGTGTTTGTAACAACACGCTTAGTCCAAAATGCCCACCAACTTATACAATTCGCTGCCGAATTGAAATCTCTGCGCCTCTGCTTAGCCGCCCTTCGTTCACCACTCCATCACGTGGGCAGCAGTTCAGCGTCCTCTGGCTGCCGATTTCACAATTTCACACATTTTCTTCCTCTAACACCCTCACTTGATGCTTTGCATGTATTTCATTTTAGGAATTTCACTCATACTCATTAAACTTAAATGCAACTCATTACAAATTTTCACTCGCGATTCAGAAAATAAACAAAGCAAAGCAAATATTCGGATTTGGTAATTACTAAAATGGGTTTCTAAGTGAAATTTTAAAATTTTTTAACTAAAATTGATTTATAAAGACATATTTTAAAAACTTTCACATGCCTATATTTGTCTGCATGAAGTGGTCTATACAAATCATTATTTTCTTATTCGTATTTATACAGACGAACGGATAGACGGACATGCAGAAGGACATCGTCAAAACTTGCAATTTTACAGTTCAGGGATCCGGGTCATTCACACTAATCCGCAGAAAAACTGTTACCATAAGATATAAACTAACTGAAGATAAAGCAATACCCTCCCAGAAAGAATATTTTTAATTATTTGCTGAAATCAAAGAAATTCTACTTGTTCATTGGAACTCTCTCTTACGTAGTCTACAGTCTGTCATAGTATTTAGTTGTGTTTCGCGAAGAAAAGTAATTAATTTGCACACTACTAAGAATTCGCGGCGCTTAACCGCACGCAGTTTAAAGACTTCAAGACAGCAAAGTGTAGCCGAGAAAAAGTGAACGAAATTTCCGTTAATAGCACATTCACCCAATCGCCGACCTCAATAAAATTCTGCAAAAAGTTCAATAAATTTCACTTGGTGGCAATAAAAGCCTTCGAGTGACAACACAGCTGGAGCGCAGCTTCCTTGCAACAAAGTCTAAGCACTTAATTTGGGCTTTATATCCGTTTTTCACTTCGTAGGCTTCACTCGTCGTCTCGCATGCAAAGCAGCACTCATGGTAAACGGCCCTCAGCCCCCTAACCGAATTACCACACAATTAAATGTTGCCCATACGCCCCTACGGCCGAGCCTGTACAATAGGGCAGCACGCAGCGGCGTGTGCGGAAGTCAGCTGCAAGCGCTCAAAAATTACAATTTAATTTTGTTTTTCACTTTTTGTTTGCAAATATATATGTATGTATATGTATGCGACCGCCAACTCGGCGCAGCCAGCATGGATGTGTGTGTGTGTTTGCTTGCATTTTTGCATTTTTCGAGCGTTTCGGCAGAGATGCAGCTATTTTAATTTCCTGTGTGTACGTGCTGTCTCTTATACACATCTAGATGTGTATAAGAGACAGATGTATATGTATGCGACCGCCAACTCGGCGCAGCCAGCATGGATGTGTGTGTGTGTTTGCTTGCATTTTTGCATTTTTCGAGCGTTTCGGCAGAGATGCAGCTATTTTAATTTCCTGTGTGTACGTGCGTGTGTTTACGTATGTGGCAGCGCAATGCGAGGCTGTTGCATGTTGCATGCCATCGCCATGACGCGTGGGCGACTTACGCTGTGCGGCGATGCAATGATTACGACCGAAACATGCTTGTAGCTGTAAAGAGCTGGACTCACCTACACACAGATGCAATTATGCCTACATACACACACACACACACACCCACAAAAGTCGTAAAAATCGGCGCTGTAGCGCTTGGCGGTCAGCATGCTCACTCAATCGTTTTTGGCTGTTTTTACTTTGATTATAATTTTTGCTTGCTATTTACTTTGTGGTGGGGCAGTCATGGCAACAACAAATATTTTTCAAGTACGAGGCATCGCTTGTAAAGCATTTTGTTTCACAAACTAGACTCTAATGTCAATTTTTTGCTTTCTTCGCGCCGCTGCACGCTCCCACCTATTTGCCTTCGCTTAATTTATTTGTTTATGTTCACAAGCCCTGCCGCCGCTTCGTAGTCGCATAATCTGCTGCCGCTCAGCTCCCAGCATAGGCTTTCCTTGCCCAAACTTTGCCCTCGTAGTGGTATTTGATATTCGACTTTATTTTACTTTTTCCCCTTACGCCGGCGGTACCGCC